GGCGGACCCCCCGATCCGCACCGTGCGCCCTCCCTGCGGCCCTGGCGCCCGGCGCCCCCCCTTTTGCCTAATCGCGCTGCCATTTTCCCTCGACCCTCGCGGCGCCGCCGCCTCCGCCCGCGCCGCACCGCGCGCGTGCAGGAAAGCAGCGCGGGCGCAGTCTCGAAGCCCTGCCCATCCTTCATAAGGCCCGCCGTGACTGGGGCATCCCTCCCGCCCTCGACCCCCGCTCCCGCCCGCGGCGGAAGGATGGGGGTCCGCGGGCACGCCCGCCGCGGCGGCGCTGGAGGGCGGGGGCTCATGACTGTCCCGGAGGCACGGCTTGGACCTCGCGGTCGGGCCCCCGTCCCGAAGGGTCGCCTTGGACCCCGGCGCTGTTGGCGCGCGTCAGAAACCGGCTCCGCCCGCGCGACGCCGCGTGGAACGTGCCTGAGCGGGGCTGTCACAGCGGCTCCAGTCGCGAGCGTCGTCCGCGGTGCCCGCGGTCGCCTCCCGAGGCGGGCGCCCCCTGGCGGCCGCCGTCCGCGTCGAAGAGCTCCTGGGGGGCCTGCGCCGTCTCGTCGAACGCGTGACGCTTCAGGTCCGCGGCCGCCACGTGGGTCCTGAGAGGCTCGTCGAAGTCCGGCGTTCAAGTTGCTGTGGTCCTCTGCCCCCGAATTCTCCTTGCGCGGCGGCCAGTCCAAGCCTGGCGCCATTGTGCGCGACCTCAGCTCCTCCGGGAGCTCGACGAGGAGGGCGACTTGGTCGCCGTGGCTCCGGGCGCCGCGTAAGCGTTCCCCGGTTTGTCCGACGACCCCGCCATGTTGAGGATCGTTTTCCGGCGGAGCTTCCCAGGCCTCGAGGAAAGCTTCGCGCGGGGGGTCGCGCCGAGGAGCTCCAGCGCCGTGGTGGCCCTATTCGGGCCGTCTGCCAGGGCCGTCTGCCTTGGCCCACGCCCGTGGGGAACTGGCCTTCTCCACCTCCAGCGCGTGCCAGCGGGCGTCTCGGGTGCCGCCGTCTGGCGGCGCTTCCCAGCGTCCAATCCGGCGACGCCCCGCCTCTGCCTTCGCGCCCGAGCGGAAAGGCCTGGCGCTCTCGGTCGGTCTCGAATGGGCGCTTCCAGTTTCTGCTCCCCTGCCAGTCGCTCGCCTGCCCGCGTCAGTGCGAGCCAGGTCGCCCAAGGCAGGGGGAGATCCTCTTCTTGCCTGCCCGCGCGACGCCGGCGAGCCAGGCGCGCGTGGGCCCTCGGAAGCGGCTTCTTCCGGGGGGGGGGCCCTCGCTGCGAAGCCCAGGCGCCCCGTGCCCGACGCCGACTCGCTCGCGTGGATGGTGCCGCGCCCGGCCGTCTCTAAGCGCCAGTCCGCCACCCGCTTGGGCCTCGCCCCCGAGAGGCCCATGGCTTAGGTGGCGCTGCCGCAGTGGGGGCCGCTCTAATCCACCTCGATGCCCCCCCGCGCCTTGGCCCTCTGCGCCGGGGGGCCAAAGGCGCCGGGGAGGATTGCCGCGAAGAAGAGGGCGGTGAATCTCTCGCGGCGCTCTGAACAGATCGCCTCCATGTCGTCGGCGTAGGCGAGCTGTTCCACGGGCCAGTTGCTGCCCCGCAAGTCCTCGAACTCGCGGGCCAGCGCGCCCCAATCGTCCTCGCGGATCTTGACGAGTGACGAACCGGTTTGCGCCCTTGACGCGGGTGACGAGCGAAAGAATGACATCGTGCCGGCCCCTGTCGTAACTCAAGAAGTAAATCTTCTCCACGGGCGTCGGCATCCTCTGGCGGATCCTGCGTCGGATCCGATTGTTCACGGCGGCTTCGTGCGCGTCGTCGCCCGCGAATCGCTTCTTGCCACTCGCGTTTTCCAGGGCCGGCAACGCTGCTATGGTGTTGTCGTCGAAGCGGCTGCGCAGCTGCTCCATGGACATCTTGACCATCCTGCCCGACGTCACCGTGTCCGCATGGTGTTCCTGGATCCAGTCGCCGTGGTCCTCTACGCTCCTGTAGTTGGCTAATTCTGGGGCGGCCCAGTTGGCCGCCTCCTGGTCGGGGAGCCACACCGTGAGCTCCTCAGAGAGCGCTTCCTGCTGGGGCATCTCTTGCAGGATGCCCGCTGTGACCCCTGTCTCCAGCTCCTTCATCAAGTCTGCTTCCGCGTCCTCTGCTTCGCGCAGGAGTGCGGCCAGCAGGTGGAGGCAGGTGGGCTGCCCCGCGGCGGCGTTGCCCAAGTCGTCGCCGTGGCTTGCTCGGCCCTTTTCCCGAGGCCAGCCTTCGACGACCCCTCTGGCTACGTACCTCGTCGACCGCCGTCGTCGCCTTCCAGCAAATTCGCCACCTGCGCCTCCAGCTCGGCAGCACTCTGGGGAGCATAGCCGCTAGGCGCCCAACCGACGCCGCGCAAACTGCCGCCTGCCTGGCGCGGCGCAGCGGCCACGCCGAGCACGCGCCTGCCGCTGCCCTGGGCTGCCGCGCCACCACAAAACAACCGAGCAACCAGCCGCAGCCATCGCTTGAAGACACATGGGCCGCGCCGAGGGAAGGCGCGCCAGCCTGGCGCCCGAGGCTGGCTTCAGTCAGGGCGGCTTGAACCCCGACGCCGGCTGCGGAGTGTTCATTCCCATCCTTTTTTCCTCTCGCGAGCATCGAGGCGAGCCGCGCGCCATGTCCAGCCACTGGCACTGCCGAGCTCTCAGTCCAGGCCCAACCTGCCCACGACCGCGAACGCGAAACCGAATGCGACCTTGGAGTGCCGCGGGGGGCAGCCACCTCGCAAGGCGATGGGCCGCCCTCGCCGCCGCCCTGCGGATGGGCAGCCCGCTGCCGCTCCGCGCAATCGCCGCTCCGAAGGCGATCGCTGCCCACGTTCAGGAGGGCCACGATGGGCTCCACCGTGGCCAGCGCGCTGCAGAGCTCCGTAAGGTCGTTCGGGAGCTCGGGCTAAGCGAAGGGCCACCCGACCACCTCGAGGATGGCGCCAAGCCTGCGGCGGAACACCTCCGCCTCGCCGTCGCCGTCGCCAAAAAACCGCACGCGCCCCCAGCAGCCGCCAGCGCAGCCTCCGCGGCAAGCGGGCCCGCGCCTGCGCCCACCACTTCAGCCGCCGCCTCCGGTCGCCGTTCCCCCCGCCGCCGCCAGCGCGACAACGCCGCGCCCTGGATGCACTAGGTCGTCGAACTCACCGCCGGAAGGACCCGCCTCAGGGCCGTCGAACACCATGGGCTCGACCTCCCCCGAGGCACCTGCCTGCGCAGCCGCCGCCGCCTCAGCGCGTTCCAAGGCGCGCAGACCACTAAGACGAGCGCGCTGACGGCGGCGCCGCTCGCGCTGCGCATCCGTCGTCGCCCTCCTGCCTTCATCGCCAAGCTTCTCAGCCCCAGAGGCAGCCGCCGCAGCGGGCAGCGGGCGCGCAACGGCCGAGGCCGCCGCCACCAACCGCCGCGCGCGTGACTGCGCCCAGGGAGCGCCGAGGCGCCCCAGCGCCCTGCGCAGCACGCGCGGCCGCGTCCAAGAGGACGGCGGCCTCTGCAGCGCTGATGGCCCCTCCGGGCGCCGCCATCATCGGACCTGACGTGCCCCCCTGAAAAGGCCCATCCCCGACGGCAGCGGCAGCCATGCGGTCGCTTGAGCCCACATGGGCTCCTACCCCTCATGGGGGTGGAACCCTATATGTGGGATGCTGTGGGGTGGGGCGCTACGCGGTATGGCTCCAGAGGGTGGGACCCCACGGAGTGGGACCCTGTGGGTTGGGTTGTGACCCTTTGGAATGGGATCGTTGCGCCATATGCTGTGCCCAGGTCGCCGAAGCTTGAATCTGTTTTCTGTTGGCTGCGCCAGAGTTGTGGCCCTCGGCCCTCGAGCTGGTTGCGTCTTCCGTGCGCAAGAGGTTTCGCCCTCGGCCGAACTTACACCTGTCTGCATCTGGTTGCGCTAGTTGTTGCACCCTCGACTCCCGACTCTAGGAACGGCCTGCTCTTGGTTGCGCCCTACGTGGCGCCCTCGGCCGACGCAGCTTCCGCAACTGTTGGCGATTGACTGCGCCATATGTCGCGCCCTTGGCGGACAAACACTTGGTACTGCCTGCCATTCGCTGCGCTGTGGTTGCGCCCGCGGCTGCCGAGATCCGACGCCGTCTGCCATCGCTTGCGCCACAGGTTGCGCAGTCGACCGCCGAGACCGGGCTGCCTGCTCCTGGCTGCGCTGGAGGTGTCGCCCTTGGCCGCCAGTGCGAACAGCTGTTCGCTATCGGCTGCGCCACGGATTGAAGGGGCCCTAGGACACACAAAGAAATACACACACAAATAAAAAGATTCCCCATCTTTTCCCATATTTTCTGGGTTTCTGTCTTCCCCCCCTTTTCCATATTTTCCCATATTTACCTGGGGGTGGACGATTAATTGTGTCTGTGTGTTTCTTCCCCTCCTGACGGATGTCGACACACGGGGCCGCCGAGCCACAGATCTGTGTGGTGCTGGTTGGGTCTACGGCCGTCGAAGGTCGATGGTCGGTACGGCCTGCGATGGATTGTGCGAAAGGTTGCGGCTGCGACCGCCCAGGCTGAAAGCAGCCTGCTGCGGATGGCGCCAACGGCTCTCCGTCTTGAGGTGCGACCAGCGGAGGCCAATCCAAGCGAATGCGGAATGCGTTCGCACATCCCTGGAAACAAATGTTGAAGCTACGACGGGAAGCATGCCTCAAGAAAACAGGCGACGCTACAGGCCGCAGAGAACACAGGCGACGCTAAACGCCACACGATAAGCAACAACAGCAACAACAACAACAACAACAGCCCCCCATCTGAACCCTGGAACGGATACGTCGCCCCTGAAACAATATGCACTCCCCTCCAAATATATAATAGCCACCACGTAGCTGCACCCTGAAGGTGAGTAGGGAGCGTCTCCCTCACGAATGGCTTTCTCGCCTTCACTGGAGGGGAAGAGGGAGAGGGAGGATGAGGAGAGTGAAAGAGAGAGAGAGAGAGAGAAAGGAGGACGAGAAGGAGGAAGAAGGATGACGGCGAAACCAAGACGTCCTTCAGGTCCTGCCAGGAAGCGCCTGCTTGAATGCCGGTGACTTGCAGCTTGGTTGCGTCCTTGGAGCCCGGGTGCATCTTCACCTCGAGGCTGGATGAGGAGAATGGGTGGAATTTGTTTCTTTCCGCTCGCGTGCGTGAGTGGCCATTTGGGATGTTCCGCAGGACTACGTGGGGCCTCTGGCGGACTAGTCGTCCCTCCTCCCTCCTCCCTCCTCCTCCCTCCTCCTCCTCCTCCTCCTCCTCCTCCTCCTTCTGCTCCTTCTCCTCCTCCTCCTCCTCCCTCCTCGTCCTCGTCGTCGTCGTCCTCTTCCTCCTGCTCCTCCTCCAAATACGTCATTTTCACATTGCACCGATCTTGACGCGCAAGCTGTAGCCAAAAGTCAACGAAGGGAAAACAGGCGGCATGCAACAGCAAGCAGCGCGAAAGACGAAGGACAGGCGAGGAGCAACTTCAAGCACAACAAGCCCAAGGTGGGGCTTCCAGCAGTGGATGCCTTCTCCTCCTCCTCCTCCCTCCCTTTACCCTCTTCCCCACCCCTCCCTCTTTCTTTTCCCCCCATGGCACCTGGACTTTGCCCCACCAACCTCTCTTTCCCCCCATGGCACCTGAACTCTTCCCTCTTCACACGTTACTCAATATGAAAACTACTCTCCCTCTTCCCCTGATGACGGCCTGGGAGTGTCCGACCCCCCCCGCGTACTGTTTTTTACACACAGGTTTCCCCGGAGTTGGGTTTTCGCTAGCATTTTTTTCAAAATGCTGCTCTCGCTGAAGCGTCGGCCTCATTTTCGAGCCCCGCTCGTTCCGAATCGTGCTCCCGCTGCAGCGCTGGCCTCATTTCCGTGCTTCCGCTCGTTCCGAATCGTGCTCCCGCTGCAGCGCTGGCCTTATTTCCGCGCTTCCGCTCGTTTCGACTCGTGCTCCCGCTGCAGCGCTGGCGTCATTTCCCGTGCCATGCCACGGCGTGCAATGCAATGCTAGGTTGATACTACGCTTTGCGGTGCTCTTCTACGCCATGCCATGCCGTGCTCTACAATGCATCGCGTACCCTTTCGAGATCATTGCCTTGCTCGACATCCGACTGTGCGAGTAGAGAGGGGATCTGCGCCATGGTAAGGGATGGGAGGGAGGGGTAGGATGTCAGATATGACGCGAGCGCACCTAGCTTGCCTCTTCCCCCTCCCTCTCTTCCCTCTTTCCCCTCCCTC